AATGTATCCCTGGACAAAAAAAAATTAGATTAAAAAAAATGATATGAAGGTTTCAATTCAAGTTATATAAAATCTCATGAAAGATTTTTTTTTCTGCTTTGCTTACGTGCATGTATTCTTTGGAGGTTGATGTGCTTCTCTAGGTCTCGTCGCAGTTTGACTTCAGGGCCATACTTGCCCACTGTCCCATCGTCCACCAGGAGGAAATGGGAATGAAGATTGTTGAGAACATTTAGTTTGCTGAGAGGATTCAGTAGCGTCTGATACGGAGCGATGATCTGCGGTGAAGAAATTAGAAAATGGTCAAAGGAAGAGAAGAGAAATTCTGACTTTTGCACCTGAATAAAAATTTTGAGATTAAGTTTCAGCAGAGTACAAAGAGTACGAAAAAAAGAAATTAAGATTGAGACTTACATCTCTGCCCATGAGATCATTCCTGTTTTCAATCACTCCCCAGGGCGCGATCCCGATAGTGCAAATTTTCTTTGATGATCTGGAACAGTGCTCTTTGAGAGCATCACCCACATGCTTTGCCACACCTACAGGACGGATGTAAGAAGATAATAAAAGATAAGATAATAATAGAATTTATACTAAAAACATTTTGACCCCTTAAACCATAAATCTATGACCAGTAAAAGTGAGCTAGACACGGTCAATCCCACCAACTTAATACATGGGAGAAGACATAGTCATAACACAAGAGCATCTGTGACCAAAACACGACCTATGGGGCAAATCCCCAACAAGTGCATTAGTCCTGGAGATGTTTGCGAACCACAATCCTCAGCTAATGGATCTCATGGATTCAGCAGTAATTTGTGAGCCAGGAGACCATCCCAACATAACAGAGTGCTAGAGTGGCATTACAAGTAATCACTGCTTTGGGTAAATGACCCCGTGAGTAATGATTTAAACACTATGATCAGACCACACCATCTTAACGCAGTGCTGTGGCTGCAGACACACCTTGGCCACCACACGCAGCCAAATGACATGCTTAGAGCCCAGTATTACAACTTCTGCTAGATCAGCGCATCACGCAGACGGTGGCTGTTTGTTTGTGCTGCTTTGTGTAACAGTGAGTGATTCTTTTAGAAGAATCTTTAGTTAATCTATAAAAGAGCAGTTGTGGAAAGTAAAATTCATTCAGCAGACATCTTTCTTTACGTCCATGCCATTTTTCTTTCGTTATAGGTGTGTTTTATTACACTCACAATTGGCCGCTGAGGATATGAAATCTTTAATTTATTTTTAAATATTTAAATATCAATCCCCTCCTAGCCTAGTTTAAGTTCAACCAAGGATGCAAAGTGTTTCTGACACAAAGTGCATAAAACCATGGCTATTGTCATAAAACTGCAGAACCACAATGCCAATGTTTTAATATGTGCCACCTACAGGCAAATATACTACACTTAGAAAAGACACACATTTATGTGTTACTGTATCTTAAGAAACACACATCAAAACTCATAACAACTGCAACAGATTCTAACTTCTACTGCAGCCATTGCTATCCTTTCCTATAGTTTGTACAGCCTGACATGCATGAAGTGGTTTCACAATCTGTGATGAAAACATCTGATGAATCTGCAGCATGCTGAACACAGATCTATGTTTGTCAAACAGCTATAAGCCAGTCTCATGAGCAGTTTCGTAATTTACACTCTGAATTCCACATCAGTTGAGCTTGTTATGTCAAAACACAGCTCAAACTCTAAATTAAGTTAAATGTGAAAGTTGGTAAACAATATATTCTGGTACACTGTTAATCCCCACATATTACCTGACCTCAACCAGGACATTTTATGACTTCCCCTGTCTGGACTCTACACCTGTAAATTCAATAGTATTTCTGAAACTGCAGATTCAGGAGGGAAACTTTCAACTTTCTGCCCGAATCAGAGTAAGAATCTCTGCATACCTGTGTTGACCCCTCCAGTGAGAATCCAGGCCCCAGTGGTGACTGCAGCTTTGATGAGGCCCTTTCCCACCACCTGCTTGATGCGCGGGTGCAGCTCAAAGTTCTGAATTCCTCCATGGACAGAGATGAGGATCTTGGGTAGCTCCATATGCCACTCCTTCAGCATCAGGCGCAGGATGCTCTCCGGCCGCGAGTCGTGGGACAAACGCACATACTGTCCGTGTTTGCACAAACACACACAAGCGTTCACATAGACGCACACATAGGAAACACAAAGGTGTAAAAAAACTGGCTAACAACATCCCACATGTCTGATTAAACTAATCAGAGTTTGAAATAGGAGATTTAAATAATGTGCATCCATCAAACGCAACAGGGATAGACTTCCAATGAGCCTATCCCTTTACAGATATTACAGGTGACCAAAACCAGTTCAACGTAACTTTATTAATTCTAATTCATTTATCAAATCGGCTTATAACAAAGGCTTATGACAAAGTGATTTAATTTGTGATTTTTCCACATACATGTCACAGCTAATAAGACACATAAAACTTTTCTTTTTTCATGAAAAACTTGTCGTCCAACAGAAGAATTTGCCCTCATACCTTGGCTCTGTACGAGTGAGACCCTCCCTGGAAGTTGATGACACCATAGGCGTCAGTGGGGCTTGCCTCTGTGTGTTTTTCCACTGACCACTCCTCCAGCTCCGGCATGGAGAGGCTGGGGTTTTCACCCAGCTTCACGTCCGAGTACTTGGTGGCCAAGCTGGCTGTGAAGCCAACGTGCTGCCGCACCAGCCGCCCACAGCAGCACCTTGAGGAGGAACAGAATAAATTTAATTGACATAACAATAATATACTTATTCAAGCAGACAAATTAAATGCAGGAACATCTGTATATATATATAAATATATATATATATATAAATATATATATATATATATATATATATATATACTGGAACACCTGTATATATATATATATATATGTATATATACTGTATATGTGTGTATATATATCAAACTGGTGAGGATGTTGACTTTCGGTACATTCAAACTTACAAACTCCATCTTAGGCCGCAAGGGGTTTCTCAATAAAAACAATAATAAAAGAAGAGGTAGACCTAGTTTGACGATGATGAAGCAACAGGGCATCATGGGAGTTGTTATCTATACAAACAATGCAGATGAAAATCTACCTGAAGTTACTGAGGCGCAAATTGTGTTCATGGTTGAGGTGAAAAATTAAAACTTAAATCACAGCAAACAGCAATGAATAACCATAATCCATTACCAGTGACCAATACAAACAGGGGAAGGAAAAAACAGCTAACAAGCTAGATAGAAAAAAAATCTAAACTTTTATCCTAACAACAAACCCTGATGACAATATTTGACAGATTGTTTTGACTGGAGGTGAGCTTGATCTATGTTCCATCAAAGTATCATTAAAACAATTAATGACCAGTAGGAGCTTTTTTGTTCCTGTAAACTCCTTTAAACCACCTCAGGGGAGAATGTGCATCCTGACACACAAAGCCTGGAAGTTTAATTGTTTCCTGAGTAGGGCTGGTGTTCAGGGGAATCACACTGAAAAAGAATTTGCCTGCAGGCTTTTCTGTCTGGTATAAACTGGTTTGCATGATTTCTCTCAGGCTAATCATATCAGGTAACAACGAGTCAAACAAGAGCCTGACAAATACTTACCGGACCAGCTGCTGGCAAATCTGGCATCCTGGAAGGCATCTGGAAGGAATTTCACATCAACATTATAACATATAGATTTGAAAATAAATCACTCCAGACCAAAAACACATTTTGAAATTGTACAAAGACGGTTATAATGCTCTGATCTCTGCTGGTGAAAGGTAAGTTCTTGGTTAGACGACATGAAGGAAGGTTATCTGTGAGCCCGGTTAGATTGGCCTTTAACCAAGAGAGTTTTGACACCTGCCAAGTGGACTCTCACTTTGATTGCAGTCAAATGCCGGCCTGCATGGGCTACCATTCACTTATCACTCCGACTCATCTACAAGCCGCAGCACGTACTATAGTTAGTGGAGACAATCCAGTGGCAAATAATTAATCCAAAAGAAAACAAAGGAAACGAGTCACCCCAGAGCATGGTTTAACTAAAGAAAGTATAACTAAAAACAGAAATAGCTTACACACAAAGGAGGTAGCTAAACAGTAAAATACACAGAATGGTAGGACACTAAATACCATCAAATAACTGAGAATTCTAATAGAAGTTGTATTTCCGTTGTAACTGGTTGATGGTTTATACCAGCTACTTGGTGTGTACATTGAATGACTGGGTTGCAAGCAAAACCAATAAGAGGCCTTCTGTACAATTTCAACACTGCATTGTTAGATTCCAGTAAGTTGGCAGAAAAACCTTGCTTCATTTCAACGAGAAATAGCAACTATGCCGTTTTCTTCACTCAGACCAAGAAAATTATCAAAATAACAGTACACAAGGAAATAAACTGGGATTAATAAGGGGGAATCAGATATCACTTGATCAAATAAAGGTGTGTGGGGTATTAACAAAATCTAAAGGATGAACTTGAAGCTTTCTAAAATGGCAGACTGATGATAAATTGATAAGGAATCCCATCGCCAGCACAGGAGAATAATATGACACACAGGTTCATCACTTTGTCTCCCCCTTCATTTAATGCTGTAATTATATTGACAGACAAAAACATTTAAATTGTGTAGAAACAGACTCATTTAGTCTTTGCAGAGTAGTGGTTTGGGTTTGAGCCTCCTTTAACACACCACACCATACAATTACCCCGTTTCCATGGCTATCACCACAGAGCTGACTGCAGATCGGCTGAGCACATACCTGTGGGGGTCCTTTGACACTGGAAGTACGTACACACATTCCCTCTTGGTGAAAGTGCTTTCTATCCAGGGTTTCTGGGACTGCGAACAGAGAGAAAAAAATGTTGTGAGTAGAAGACAGCAGCTGATGTTCTTCATGTCATGAGTGCTGTTTATTATATTTGCATTTGGTGAATTAAAGTAACAAACTCTTCCCAGGAGAATGTGGAAAAAACCATGCTCCTCTGTACAGTAACTGATGGTTTGTAGAAACGGGGCTGACATTATTGCCACTGTAGTATCAAAAGGACAGGTAAAAAAAAGTGAACAGAACACAGGGGAAAAAAATAAATAGGCAAATTTACTTTGGTTCAGAGCAATTCTCTCTGTAAATAATGAACTCCACACATCATAAAAGAGCTCTTGTGAGGTTGTAACCACTTAATCTAGGATTTAGTATATGAAAACAAAGGGGTTAGGAGGCTTCATAAAAAAATAAATAAAATCATTTGAAATTGGGGCAACCACAGTTCAGGAGGCACATTGACAAAAGCTGCATGACATTGTTATAAACCTTGACAAAACAATCTCATTCTATGTCACCATTTTATCAAAACAAGGATTATGTCACAGGAATTTTCAATAAATGCTTCATTCCTCATTGTTTCCCTCAGCACGGCTCAGAGGGATCCGCTAATGATTAGCAGCATTAATCCCTGCCAGCACAAAGAAAGGAAACCTGCAAACACCATCACCTGCTTCACACCAAAGACTTTCAACTGTTCCTGAAACTCAAACAGCAATGTTGTTCTAGTGTACGTGTAAATGGGTTGGGAAGTAGGTAACTGGGCTCTTTTCTATTGGAGTTAGCTGAAAATGATTCTAACTAGTCCATGCTTACAGTTAAATAGATGGTTATAGACAGAGGTCATAGTTTTGAACCATGATTACTTAACTTTCCCTAAAGTCCCACGTGTAGAATTCAATCAGTTATCCTCAATACCGGGAGTCAAATCTCTTCTGTCCATAGTGCCTCTAGCTCCATGCGTCTACAACAAATCACTTTTTTTATAGTAATGGGTCATCCCACTGTTTGACCAGTGAGACAAAGCCACTGAGTGTTTACCTGGACGTCCTCTTCTTCATCTCTGTGTTTAAGGGCTTTGTACAGGAACATACCAAGGCTCCTTCATGCATCTCCTGGACAAACCACAGTCACCGCAGACTCCCCTTCAGCGCTGGATTATTAGCAAAAAATCCCTACACTACACACGTCTCTGAAGATGTCCATGCAATGTCCAAACAGGTCTCAAAGTCTACAGCGATGCTGTTACCACACAGATCCGGGTGCGAGTTAAAAGTTGAGTGATCAGCGAGACGTTGCAGCCTCCAAACTCCATCCACAGTTAATCTGTAAGAAGCCACTCACAGGGCAGATGAATGTGTCTGAGACAAACTAGATATTACGTTTAGGCTGGGGAGAAAGAGACGAGGGAGGCGGAGGTGTGGGAGAGGATTAGTGGATGGGCAGAGGCTTCAATGATATACACCTAGTTGTCCTCTGAAGACACACCACCAACTGTGATTCATGCAGTACACACAAAAACTCTCTTAACAACTTTTCTTGCAGTGGCGCATCAGGAGGACCCTCTACTTTCAAACTAATTTCCAAGAGCACAAACATTTACAAAATAGACATCTAGATGAAAATGAGGGCAGAAAAACTATAAAAAAAAGCTATTTTCACACATGGAAGCCAGACGTTGTTTTCACAAATTTGTGGAAAATTATTAAAAGTTGCATTTTTGATTTACAAAATGACCTTAAAATATTTTTATATATCAGGAAGGTTGTGTCAAAAGTGTAATTTAATTGTATTTTACTCACAGCCATTCCAATGCTTGGGCACCTTTTATGAACAGGTGCCTATATCTGGTTGTTTGCTATGAGTGATGTCCAGTGTCCTTTATTACTGTTGTGTATATGTATTTTTGCCATCTACTGTAAAATCATATTTCCCCTTAAATTGAGACTCAATACAGATCTCTAAATCTACAACTACAATGTCTGCAACTGGCACCAGGCTGAGCATCTTTCAAATTATTTTGGTCTTACAACGTGGCCAATAATTGGATGTGTGAGATGTTATTTGTAGATGTAAATTATCATCTTCACTTTGGGAATAATCATGCATTTAAATAAAGACTCAGATTTTGGTTGGCCCTTTTCCTGAACCCTTAGTTAACCACAGTGTAGAAAAACCTGTAGTTATCAAAACCACTTATTTCCCTAAATCCACCAAAAATACAAATTTGCACATTTAGAGGTATGAAAGTAAATGATAGAAATTAAAAAGGTGAATCTATGGATTTAAAAGACATGAAAATTATGAATCCGATAAGTTAAACGGTTCGTGAGATGTGCGTTCCACATACAGACAGATGTTTGCGGAATTAGTGGGGGATAGCCCACCACCACCAACATCTCTGAGATATGTAGCTATTGTAAAGTTACTATTCTATGCCAATTTTAAGATGTACAGTGGGACAATGACTCTTCAGGGCCAACCTGTAAACTGATAAGTGACCTAATCAGTGCCTCATATCTACAGTAATGTGAAGGGTTTCATTGCCAGCTGGAGCAGAGACAGGTGTTAGACACACTGTGTGACTTAAGGGAGATCGGTCTCTAGTGATGCACTGTGAAGACTGCAATGTCATCTTGGTCCAACAAAGTGTTACTGAGGGAGATAAAGCAGGACTGAGCTCTGCTAACCTGTAACCATGGTACCTGAGAATGTCAGGCAACAAAAGACTTGAGCTCTTGAGCACTCCTGCCAAAAACACACACTGCAACTTCCTCACTCCCTCCCTCTTCCTCTCTGACTTCTTTTTCCGAGCACCAGCTTTTATGATTCCTCTGTTCCTATAGGAAATATAACAGCAGTTTAACATATCATTCAATTCACCAATGCATGTTTATAGATGTGTGTGTTTGGTCATGTTTATCTGCATCACCATGCAGAAAGTGGATGTTTCTATGGCGTGATGCAAATGTGATCACTTCACTTCATTTTCCTGTTGTAAGCTTCCAGTGCAGAACAACACTCAGTATGAACTCAGAAACCTTGCCAACTTCCTTTCCTGTTCCTTCCTTCTTTTTCCCAACAATGCAACAAGACTAACCGGTCAACCCATCATTCCTCTGGCCCTCTCTGACGTAATATGGGCTGAGATAACATCTGGCTTGGCAAGTCTATTTCACTTGTGGTAGTGGGGACAGGACTACATTTGAGAGCAGTAGCCAAACATAAGACTAGTTCTATGAACAAACAGAAAGACAAAAACTATTACTATTATTACTATTATTAACAACAATACTTCAGTCATTAATTATTATATGAATTGTGACTGTTATCAATAATAATCTTTACACTGTTATTGTTTACATTTTAACTAGTCAGATCTGATACCTGATGGTACCTGATCGCCTCTCTCTCTCCCCCTCCCCACTATCACTCTCTCTTCTCTCCCCTCCATCTCTTCTCTCCTCCCCTTTTTCTTTGCTCACCCCAACGGGTGGAGGCAGATGACCGCCCACACTGGTTCTAGAGGTTTCTCCCTGTTAATGAGGGAGTTTGTTCTCTCCACAGTCGCAAAAGTGTTTGCTCATTGTGGGAACTGTTGGGTTTCTCTATAGATTTTAGGTCTTGACCTTCTATTTTAAGTGCCTTGAGATAATGTATATTATGATTTGGCGCTATACAAATAAAACTGAATTGAATTGAATGAAAGAGCAAAATAAACTTTTGCTTTTTTTCCAACATTTACTTGTGTAAATTGGCATGTAAATGCACTGGATATGATACATCTTACTGTATTTCCGAGTTTGGCAAAAACACACAGGTAGGATTTACCAGCAAAGGCACTCAGGATAATCAAATATGTAAACAACATGACTAAACAGTGTTGCACAACATTATTGTGCAAGATCTCATGGAGCGCAGGTCTGCAGCAGACCTTGAGTCCTGATTTTGTAAATATTGTTCATATACATGTCTCACGTTTACAGCTCTGGACAGAACAACATGTTAACATTTATGTTAACATTCTTAGAACACTAAATATATTGATATCTTTCTGATGTGGTCAAAGTAAGGTCAAAATCACAAACTACAAGACAAGTTAACACACACAGGCCTCATCACTTTGCAATCCTTACCCCATCTAAGTAATTTCAAGATCTCCAACTACTATTGAGTGTTAAATCGAGGGAAAGGGTTCAACATAGGCTTCAGATAAGCTTCCTGGAAGGCAGAAAACATAAGTCAAGTTGGTTCGTGCAGTCATGAGACCAAAGTGTGATGGCTCTCAAGCTCTCTCACTTGTGCCCCTGGAGCACAGCTCTGAAAAGCAGCACAGCATGAGCTGATAGCATGCTGGCATGCCATCCAGATTCCTCCTTTCAAGCAGCTGGATAACCTAGTAATGTAAAGCATGTGATGACTTTTTTTTCCTCAACATCTGGCCCTCATGGTTATATGAACCAAGGTGTAAGCCATCCAAGGTTAGGCGATACCAGCAGGGATAGTTGCCAAGCTAATGCGTTCTATACCTCCCTGCTTAAAGGGACTACATATCTCTTTGCACATACAATACAATAACTGCAACATCTGAAATAAGAAGATACACCAAGTAGGTATTCCCTCCAGTGCTCTTTGTGAGTCAGGGGTCATTCAGAGAGCACACAAGTCTGCTGCGTGCCTGACCAGGAGCTACAAGGGGAAGCAGTTGAGGGAGGATTAAGCTGGATAAGAGCTACAGGGGAGCAGCTCCATTGATAAATAAAAAAATGCTACCTGGGGATACAGATCACAAAAAAACCCAATTTGTATGGTAAGAACAGATGAGAGAGCAAGACCACAGTCATTGTCAGTCATTTAGGCCATAGCTTCTCTTTCGGACTAGCAGGGAAACGTCTTCAAAAACCTCAGGCTAATCCAGTTGCCTTTTGTGCAGCATTTAAAAAGAGCTCAGGGGGATAGTGCAGTCATTCTGCAGGCTGAAACACGCAAGCAGACACACACACAGACCCACAGTGCTATAGTGCACTTTGCAGCACAGCAACAAAGTGATGCAAACCCTTTTCTCACAGTTGAGGGCACTAAAGCCTGAGCCGATGACCAGTTCAACCAGCCACCATTACATAAGAGACTGCGACTTTCAATAACAAAGCTTTGCTACCTGGTGATACAAATCAAATCATGCTGACGACTCTGATGAACCAGTTGTAGTTGAAATCATGCAGAGCATTCTGGAAGTAACCTTCCCTTATTGAGGGGTAAGCTGGGGCATGTGACCAGCTCAAGGCAGTACTGTGGAAAATAAGACAAGCTCCAGCCGCTCTGGTTTCCCATTGAATAAAAGCAAATGCAGTAGAGGAGAGGGGGTTATGTCAATTCCATAAAGGGAGATAAGATATCATCCAAGATCTTGGATGATGTTTTCCTCTGACCACAGTTGCCATCTGTTTCTTCTTGACTTGTCTTTTCATTAGCTGCATCAAAGTGCCAGGGTGATACAACAATACAAATGTGTACATTTGTACAATCAGAAATTTGCCACACTGTTAATGTCATGGCATCCCTATACTATCTCAAAGAGACACTGATGTCATGGTAACAGTGCAAACTCCCCAATGGTAAGTTGTCGTGTTTCAATCCTTAACCACTGTGATTATTGTGGTGATTTGGTTGATACCGTCCAGCATTAACCAAAGTTTACAAGTCTCCAAGACTGCGGTGCAACAAGCAACATGGATTTGATATGTGTAGCAAAAACATGCAGGAAGGAGCAGAACACAGTGACAGCAGGAGGGCTGCTCATGTTCTGGTCAAGACTGGCAACTGCTAAATCCACTGTCACCAAATTTGTGCAAATGCTGATATTTTAACACGACAAGTTGCCAATCTGTCTCCCCCGCTCTTCCACTCGGAGAAAAACGTAAAATGCAGGCGAGACTCTGACACTGAGATGAAATGAAACAAGCAGCATTCAGCATCAACATGAGGTCCTGAAGTGACTTACTAATCAGCCGATATTATACCAAGACTTTTGAAAAAAAAATATGGCTATGATTGATTTACTTAAGCTTGAGTTAATTTAAACCTGCATTACAGGAAGTTTTCATTGTATTAAAAGCTAAACTGACTAAAGCCTTTTCCCTTTAATGTTGATGTTGCACACTTGATATGGTGTTGGCTATTTTTTTTTTTATCAATAATACATTTATTACTTGAATATAACATTTCTGGGCAGTTTAACAAAATGAAAACAGTAATAACTGATCATTAATCATTTTCACACAGTTTCATCTCCACTAGCAATTAATGAACAGGGCTGATCTGTGGATCTGTGCTCCATTGCGAGTTGATATAGTCCAATCATTGTTATTCAACGATCCAACAACACTGTGTTCAGAAGTGGACCAGAGTTTAGGCTTCATGTCATCTTCTCCCTGAGCTCCTCGGTGTGGAGACAGGACATCCTCAGAAACCTATGTCTGTCCCGAACACGCGTCTTCAGCTTTGTCTGCTGCGCTGAACATTCCACCAGCAGCCCAGGACAGACAGCGGTGAGGGTACAGATGTTCAAGTCTGAGACATTCAACCTTTTCAACACTTTCACTCTTCTTCGCAGAAACACTCGACTCAGACTTGGCTGCCACTCAAGGTGCCATTGACTTGTTACTGGCAATGACAGCGTGTCTCATTGGACATCTGGAACAGCTGGCTCAAACCAGTGTGTCTTCAGCATGTCTCACACGCTCTTCAGCATGTTGTGTATCTGTGAAGGACCGTCCAGCGAGCAGAAGCACAGCGCTAACAGCAGCCAGCTACCGCAGCTACCGCGGCTAGTTAGCTTTGCTTCGGTGCTTAGCATCAAGCGCTAGCGAGCTAGCTACATAGCCGGCTAACGTTACGCCCGTGTGTGGTTTTCGGGGACTCCTCGCCAGACGCTGTGTCACCGTGTACAACCAGCTTATTCTGTCCGAGACCCGGTGCCTGCGCGGGGGAGCCAGGCTGTCAGCTAACGCGGCTCCCAGCACCGGGACCCGGGTGTCTGACAGGCAGCATGCACTGAGGGGGGAGACCCGACACTCACAAAAAATACCCCGAGTGGTGACGACGGTCCTCAGCGGCTGTTTGAGCGGACTATAACCCCCCCCAGAAGAAGGCAGGAGAGCCGGGTCACGTACCATTCTCTTCACCGTTGAGACTCAGGAAGAGCTGTGTGGTGGCTTTTAACCATCTATCGCTGCTGCTCTCGGTTAGCCTTGGGAGGAAAGCCCAGTGGACGCTGGAGAGATCCGCTTCGGCTGCAGCTCCAGCGGAAGGTTGCTTTTTCATAATTGTGCGACTCCAGAATGACGCTGCGTGACGAGCCGGCTGAGTCAGCCCGCACTCTGTCACATGGCCGAGGCGGAGCCAGCGGCCACATGTGCGCTCTGTTTGACCCGCTGGTAAACACCAAGATCACACAAGAGAGACTTATTGTCCCCCTGACCCATGACACTTGTATTTTCAGTTTTACATAGGTATGATGGCCCACGTGGACATTGATAAGTTAGTGTTTGTTAAACACCAAAGAGACACTAAGATGAGACTTAAAGCCCCTTTTCTGTACATTGTTTCATTCCATTGACACACAAATCCTGTACTTTACCTCTTTCATGGGCTTTTTATACAATTATCTACGATTATCAGAGAGCCACTTGTTCGTGATATTAGCAGTATTGCAGGCCATGTATCGCGTATGGTATTGTGGGGTACCCTGCATCCTCACCCCTGTTAGATTATACATTCAATCTATTATAACAAACATACCACACTGCTTTCTAATTAGAAACTCACTGACGTTAAACAGTAACTTTTGTCTTTATAATTAGTTAATAAATAATTTCACTAATGCTTTATAGGTTAGTCCAAGGTCATTTAAGAACAACTTGTCTCTACCGTCACCACCTGTAAAACAGTTTTATGTTGTTAAAATCCTCCCCTGCATTTGTCCTCTAAATAGCTGAATTGACTTTACACCTATTTATTTATTTATGGCTTGTGAGAAACTAAAAACAGCTGCAAGTATAGTGTTAATAGCAGATGCCAATTTGCTTATAAGGGCTTTTGTAAAAATTAATAGATAAACAGAGAGATAAAGGTTAAGAGAGATAAATCAGAGAAGGAAACGAGTGGCACATGTAATATGCAAAAAGGAACACATGAAGAACATTACAGACAAGACAAAGGGGCTAAAGATTGTTGCTGAATTAGCAAGATGTTAGCAAAATGTTAAGAGGCTACGGGGACCGGTGGGAGCTTGCTAATACCATCTCCTTATGTAATGGAGCAAAGGAACTGCAGTTGTATTTGATATACTTGTAAAATTGGTGTAATATATAATCTGTGGACTCCATTCCTGGATTATGTAGGACCCAGATTAGCCAACAAATTCTGGAAGGCACGTCCCAGACCAATGATCGACTAATTGTTGAATTGGGAAATGTTCAGATGAATGGTTTAAGTTAAATGATAAATCTATATGTACATGTGAATATGTGATACGTATTTGATAATAAAGATTTTTTTTAATTGTGAAGGTTGCAGTACATTTCAAGTACTGTTTGAGAAAAAGATGTTTGACAGAATGAAACTTGACAGTTGCTACTTGAAGAGGCTCTGATTGATCTGCTGCATCTCGGTGGTCTGTGGTTGTATTTACAGATAGGATGAGGAGCACAACCATGCAAACATGTAAATACAGACTTACATAATAAAAGTCAATAAAATAAGTACAAATTAAAATCTTGTTTTTACTGTATATGCAGCAGTGATGGTACCTCATTAGCTTTCTACCCAAGATTTTCAAAGCCTAATTAGAAAGACTGAATTTAACAACAGACTGGTTGACCAGAGACCATATATGTGTCTGTAAGCATAAAAGTTGACAACATACTTGTTCTCTATTCTGTAACGCTGCAGTTATGTAGTATTTAGTCAAATCGCCTCACTATGGTCAGTTAAACAATACACTAATCGATTCAGAATAGTAGCTGCTAAAGTGGTCTTTATTTCCTCATACTACTTACATCTAAAATGAATAAAAGCCCAGTCATATTCAGATTGATAAAGACTTCAGAATCAGATTTATTAGTAGGTTTTCAATATAGAGTTTATAGAAATACGGGAAGAGTCCTGTTGTTCAAGGAGTAGGATGAAGACAGGAACATTCATGAAAAATAAAAAAATGTATACATGTGCAACACTTTACATTGTGCAGAAACGGTTCAGGATATTCAAGTGATCATGTGTTAATGACAATGTGTTCATTACCAACTCACTGATGATGACCAATACCTCAATGACCCCAAAGACGGTCACTCTAATCTGACCAGTGTCCCTGGTTGAAGGGAAGGGCAGCTCCTCCTCAGGAAGATACGGGCCTTTCACCATTTTACATTCAACATGAAAGATTTTCTAAATCTGTGCTTTTTTATCTACTACAAGATTTTATTTACCGTTCACATTGAGCAAGTTTCAAAAGGACAGAAAAATACACACATAACAGCATTAGGTTTAAATTGTTGATTTTAATATATAAGGCAATGGAAGAAATCACATAATACAAACACAGAAACCTCAAAACAGTTATCAAAATGTGTCATTAGGCCGCTACAAGTAATTGAAACCCCTATCCCCACCCTGTCCACAATGAACCAACCGCCAAGCTACACATTATAAAGTGCTTTCTGATTTTGTTGTTTGCAATCATCAACATCATCAAGGCAAAGGCATTACAGTTTTCCGAAAGTGAAGCTGACATACATTTCAGGCACTAAACAACACCTCTTCACCACTTAACATCTCTGTTCAACTTACAATTTTATTTAATTTACTAACAATTCACAGCAGTCAGAAGGAACCTGCAATGTTTTACGAAAGTGTTGATCTGTTCCCTCACTTTGCAAATGTAATATTAAAAAATATATCTTTTAAAAAGCATCCAGCAGTTGGGTCCACACTCTTCACTGTGAGTCAGCATCTTTCTCCACCTACGGAGCTGTTAGTTCTTACCTCTAAAGAGACAAAGCAAGAAGTTAATAATTCTTTAGTTGAATTTCAGTTCAATGAATACCATTGTAAAAGAAAGACAAATCACAGACTGCATATACAACAGTAGACCAGAGATATGTTCTACAGATACCAAACCATAGAGACAACATACACCAAACTCCATGCCACCAGCTTAACCGCAAGCGACAACATGCAGAGGACAACATACCAACATGTTGGTCACTGCATGAGGAATGAAGTAAGAATATTAACCAAAAGCGAATGATGAAACAAGCTGCAAATACAACAAACTGCAGGAAAAAAGAAACAAGGTTAATGATTTTACATGGCCGAGTCCAATTTGGAGTGTGGCTGATTAGTTATTTTCAATCAACTAGAGACACCTAGTGGTCAGCTGATGCAAAATACTATACTGTTCTTTTTATCACCCTGGAAATGAGGGGTTAAAACGTGAAAGGAAAAAGAGGATGAAAACAAAAAGGAAAGAGGAGAAAAGACACGGCGGTAAAAAACAAACAAACAATCTAAAATGGGCAGAGAGATGCAGGGGAGAGATCTGGGTTAGAGGGAAGCACACCTGGCAACAATGGTTCCCTGGAGTCCAAGACCTGGTGAAGAAGCGAGATCAGAATTGATGTTCAATTTTTTGCTATCTAGCTGTATTCACAGAATACAAATGCTGCTGTGGTCGTTAAAGACGACTGAAGTGAAATTATGAAAATATCACGTCCGTAGCTCATTTAGGTTCATGTCATGATCACCTCAGACTAAGAGTAATCAAATCACATACGTCTTTTCACTGTACTTTCAATTATTAAGGGAAAGATGTTTTGAGAACTTCCCTGCTCTGTAGGAAGATAGTCATGAATATCATTTGTGTTCACGAATTTACAGATGTGTCAGATGACAATGCATGTGTGCCTGTGTTGGCGGGAGTGAGAGAGAAAGACAAAGAGCATGCAGAGTCAGGAGGAACGGAATGAGCGCAGCTATGAAGAACAATTTTACCAATTTTAGAAAAGTATCATTTGAGGTGATCAGTGTTGACACTGTGGCAGTGAAAACCCACAAATCAAGTGTAAAAATGCATTTAAACTTAAGGGGGTCAGAAACATCCTTCATATGTAGCCCAGAACAGAACTAGGTTCCCACATCTAAAACAATGTTGCCACATGGTTCCCAGGCCACCTCCGAATGTGGTCTGAGTGATCGGATCTCAGGACGGATGTTAGTACCAGGTCTGAACGAGGTCTCAGTACCTCGATCTGCAGAGAGCTGAACATTAAAGCTTTCTGTTATATGCTGTGGGCCGTGCAGTAGATAAAAGATGGTATAAAGCATTCGTTGATAGAAACGTTCACTGTCACAAGTGAGTTCACATACTTTTCAACATCTGGGAGAAAATAAAGGAAAACTACAGAGAACTGCCTGAATATCATCCCTTCAGGTTTACATTCAGTACTCTGAAAGTATCATTCATTGGTTATTTTCATATAAGTAAATATCTACAATATTGTCAAAGTGGCCTACAATGCACATACATGCACATCTTGGCAATAGGCCTTGCTGTGTACTTCAGTCTTTGGAAGAGAAATATGTGGACTTCTGTTTTATGAAACGGTTTTAAAGCTTGTGTCATAGATACAAGAGAGGTTTTATCCTTTAGATATATACGATAAAATACAGCCATCAAGCACAGCTACTGTGCCAACCCTTTATAAGAACACTCAATTCTCTCTCTGGTTCCCTCACCTCATAAGTGGTTCCTGCCCAGAAGTGCTTCATCTCTCCCCGGCACCCAGCCACCACGGCGGAGGTGATCAGGGTGAAGGGCACCAGGTAGAGGAGGGCAGGCTGACCCATCCCTGACAGCAGCATGACGACAAAGGTCAGGATCATTCCGAGCAGATAGGCTACATGGCATGAGAGAGACACACAAACACAGAAGAAAACAGACAGACTTGAAGCTTCCAGCACATTCAAAGACAATCATAACTTGAAACCAGGAAATTAATCAGTAAACTGCTTAATATGGGAAAATGAATAGATCTGCAGCACAGCATTCACAGCAAGAAGGTCAACATTTTACAAAAATGACCTATTAATATAACACACTCTGTAAAAGAGCTATTTCAAAGCAACAATAGAAAATATTTGGGAATGTAAAGTGTAAAGTTCAGTGTGAAGACTGGAATAACAACATGTGACAACTTAATACGAGCAATATGAAATATTTAAAACAATTAATGACGACATACTGTACATTTACTCTTACATATTAAAATCTGTGCTATAAACCAACAATTACCTGAACAAAATGTTTTATTTTTAAACATGTTTTCTAGCAAGTTTTCATGTGTTAATGCAAAGTGACGAGTAGAGTAAAGACAAGACAATAATGGTTTATCTATGGGGTACCTATGCAGCAGCTGACAAAGTAGATCTTCTTAGTGCTGTTGATCCACACATCAAACCTGCTGCAGTAGGCCACCAGCAGACCTGTTGACAGACAAATGCAGACATGCACACAGTTTGTGCAATGAAAAGAGTGTGTGTCTAATGTTATTTAAGTATTGAACACTTCAGAGGACGAAGTTTATAAAACTTATACGAAAATGATCCATAACTATCCATAATAGCCTAGTTCACACCACACGATTTTTAGCCCAATTTTCCAGTTCCGCATGAGTTTTGGAAGTCGCCATCAAAACCCCAGATCGGAGGGTTTGTATGAATTCCTCAAAGACGTAAATCAAGGTGGATGCCGGCACGTCAGACTCTGACCAGATTTCTGGCAAGCTGAATACCTAGATGAGTCAGCGACAAGTACGGCCAATCAGACCGCAGAATAGGGTGAGGGTAAACGTAGTGATGAGATGCCCCCTGATTATATTCACAGCACGTCTTTAATTGGGAGAAAAAAGCAACCAGCAAGTGTGTGAGGGACTGGGAAACACAAACTCAGTGCAGCTTTGGCCTCAGATAGGCTCGGACAGAAAAATGCGGCAGAGTGAGCCACACTCTATTCTATGAACTTTGAAAGTCGTGCAGTGTGAACTTGGCTTGAATACATTTACATTTATCGTCTTTTCTTTCTTTGTACCACTATGGGCTCTAATCTGCTCCATGCAACCTAAAGTTTATACTGGAGTTAAACTGACCGGTGTCCAGCAGCCTCTGTGGTAATCAAAAATATTTACCATCAACAGTTTAAGCACCCACCTGGAACAATGATGTCTCCGTAACCCAGGATGGAGAACTGCATCCCACACAAGTTCTGAGCCCAGGCTGAGAACCGTGGGACACGCATCACCACTGGGAGCTGGAAACATAAAACATTTTAGATGTGTGTGACAGTAGAACAGTGAGTGAACTGTTGTTTGTGTTAAAGCGACTCAATCTGGCTACAATCCGAGTGGAAGGTCTCCACTTCCTATCAATTTGACAAAGCTTAGATTTCATTCTGTTAATGTTGCTAATGCTACTGCAGCAGTAGTAATGCTCCCACCAAACACCTAGTTCTCCTTTATGCTTTGGACTTCCTCCTTAAAGCTCTAATTGCCATTTCCTCACCATCATTCAATACACACTTACACAAATACCTTTCTGAACACAGTTTCATTGTTAGTACACAAGCATATTCACCAAAAGAAAACAGTAAACATAAACTTATGCAGGAGAAACACTGCTCCATTTATCCTGAAATAACATACCATGCCTTTCTGCAAGCTAAGTGGGAAAATATATATATATTTTTTTAATGTTCAAATGTAATTTGAATACAAACAACTGCCCCTAGGCAGTTATGCTATGATTTAATTAGGGCTTCACGATATATTGAAAATCATCCGTCATTGCGATATCAACATGCACAATAGACATTTCGCAAAAGATGGAAAAACCTGTGATAAATGGTGTTCCATGCGCCACTCATTTACACTTTGCATGTCAATTTATTTGTCCAATCAGATGGAGCCCTGCTGCTCTTTATGATATCGAAGACATTCAGATCATTGACAGGTTTTACCTTCAATGACTCATGTCGGAAGAAGAGAATAGAGAGAGAACAGAGAATTTGAGAACAGGAGCGAGGCGGCTCCGTCAAATCTCGCTCTGCCTCCTCCAACTAAATTCTACTGTGGAAACTTCTACTGATCACGTTTGCCCTGGATCAGGTTCATCATTATCAGTGGTTGATTAAATAAAAGTTGTTTGTTTGATGCCAAAATATCAACAGTTGCATGTCTTTTCGCGCACACGCACACACACACACAAAACAACAGACTTTGTAATCCTAGTAAATGAGCAGGAGGAGAAGCGGCACACTTGTTTAGCTTGATGCAGTTAGCACAGCACATAGAGACACAGAGAGGTGCAGTAAATAACTGACTGAGCCGCTAAATACTGTAAGAAAATATCACTTTTCGGAAACATGTATGACAAGACCCCAAATTAAAATTGTAAGTGGACTTAGTGGAGCTGTGCATGGCTCCCTGGTGTCTGCCCCGAACTTGGCAGTGCTGCGGTCGGGCTGTGCGCCTTCTCTGTTATATCGTCATCGTGATGTTAAAAGTTATCGCATATCGCATGTTTTCCTAATATCGTGCAGCCCTAGATTTAATAACATTTTTAAATGTTTCGTAAAATAATTCTGCTTTCACTTTTTTGAAGGGGCAAGGGAAAAAAATCATAGGTAGATTACACAAGTGTCTTGCTTTCATAAGGTAGCTAATGGGATAACAGTTTGTTCTGCAGGTTACAATATTTACATATGTATTTCTTAGTTTCATGTTTTATCATCTGTTAACCAAACTTTAATAGTAAGTTTGAATCCCTGTGTGTCTAAATTGATTTATCGGCACCCACCACTTGATAATATTATATTTGAAAAAACAGCTAAAGACCTAGTATTAACATCCATCCTGAGATATCTCATCAACAAGTCCATCGCTGTCGGTACACGTGCTCACACCTGGGATTAAAACGTGTCCTGAATGTGTCTCCCGTGACCACCTGTGATTGGATCTGCACTTGATATGCACATCAACACGTCCGTTATTTCTGTCTCACTGTGTTTATGTAACTGCAGAAGCAAGCAGTAGAGGGAGAGAACAGTCAGGAGGCACTGAATGAATCTTGTGCTGCTGTATTGTGAATTAAGATTTTAGCAATCTAAGAAAAGTATCATTCATTTGTCAGTGTTGATATCGCAGCAGTGGCCACAAACAAATCAACATATAGGCACTGTAGTGCAGTCCTTCCTAAGTGGCCCAAGATGTAATCATTCACACAGCGAAATGAATGAGGCCACATGAATCAGGCGAGTGATCAGATGTTACATTCAGGATTTGGGTGCGTTTAGACTTGTACTTAGACTAGAGCTGACCACTTGTGATTGGATTACTCGGAACAAATGGATGGTAATACCAGGACTGAACGGGGGGGGCACGCACACACACACACACACACACACACAGTGAGGACACTCATTAACTCATTGCATTCCCTAGCCCCTTACCATCATAACTAAATGCCTAATACTAACCCTAAAACCAAGTCTTAAACAGCCCATTCAAAATTGTTCAGAAAGGGAGGACAGGCCAAAATGTCCTCACTAATATATCTGTACCTTTACATACACGCCTAGAGAACCTGATTTTGCTCATGAGAATGTTTATGAGACCAAAACATCTACAACCCCTACAGCAGGATCTAGCATTATAAAAAGAGGAGTGGACTGTTAACAAGTCAAACCTTACTTTCTCAGAGGGAGCCTGGGGTTCAGCTGGGACCTCCACCATGTTACCTTGCGTCTACGACAGAGCCCACCCAACCCCAACGCACAGTTAATCAGTCAGTCAATCAGTCCCCTCCGGGCGGCAACAACAAGCAGAGCAGACTAGCCAGGAGGTTAATAAAGCTGGTACAAACTTGATAGCTTAGCTTTTAAGCTTGCTGTGACTGAGATGACCATCAAAAGATTAAAAACATCTGCTCACTTCCTGAACACAAATTTACTCCAAAAGTTAATTTGTTCACCAAGTAATTTTTTCCCTTTTCGGTCTTACAATAAAGTGAACAATCTTTTTTTTTTTTAATTGTCTCTTGCTATCATCAGGAAAAAATATCCAGGGACAAATACAGTTCCTGCAGGTGCTTTATAGAAAAGCAATGATGTTCAAATATTGTAAATTTACAATTTTTTATATAATTTTTTATCAACTCTAGAAATTAAAACTAGTATTAAAAAGTCAGTCCACTATTTTTAATCATCCCAATACTGAAAACAAATGAAAGCAGTGAAAAGAATCAATGTGGAATCTGATCTTTTTGCAAATATTTGGGAAAATGCTTAGTATTTCAGGGGAACTTACCTTCTCCCCAGATGCATCTGGGCCCAGTGCAACCTGCACCATGATGCTAACACCATTCTGTTGACAGAGAAGGATCCCAAACATTCATATGATGCCACTCATCTCTTTATACAGACACTATGCAAAAGACTGTTAGCCAAACATTGAAAACACTCCTTATATTTATAAATATGCTACTTAGTCTGATTACTTCTATTACCATCTATAAAAATGGTTGTAATTCCTGAACAGTTAATGCAATATTTTTGTTATACTCCTCGATTAAAGCTGAAAGTCTTCACATCAACCACATCTTGATGGCTTTGTTTCAAATCAATGTTGTTGGAGAACAGAGGCAAAATTGTATCACTGTACAATATATGCACACTTGACTGTGTGTGTGTATGCTTCCCTTTCTAAATCATAATTTACAGACTCTAACAAAGCCATTCCATATCAGAGTAGTAAAACATTTTCGTGAATCTTTAAATCTTGGGGGCAACAAAGGGTTAAAGATAAAAAAAGGAAATACGTAAGATCAGCTATATTTTAAATCAATGGTGGTTAAGTATGTGGAAAAAGTCTGCATTTCGCGCCTTGTGAGAATACATTCATACCTTGGTGAAGAAAGGAGTAATGAAAACGAAGAAGACGTCATACACAAGTAGGAGGCTCAGCAGAATAACACAGATCTGAGAGATAAAAAATACATTTAAAAGTCACACATCAACTCCAGAGCTGATAAACCTGAAAGAAACATGTATGTTTTAGCATTACCCTGCTTTATCACAATATTAGAGCCCATTTAATGTGGAATTTGAGGGGTGATGCCAATATGATAATGATATAGATACATTT